CTACGTCATCACCAACGTCAAGTTCAGATGCGCGTTCAAGCAGATGTTTTGTTGCCATTGTAACAAGAAACCCTAAACGTATCAACGGCTTCAACAAGCAAGAACACGTCTACGGCGACTTCAGTGGAAACTATGTAACCTTGTTCACAAAGCGTTCTTTAAGCTACGACTGTCCACGATAGTCGTAGAGCAAGTTTTACACAACCTGCACATCAGTTTGAAGGAATCGTGAACGCTCTGTTTTCCCAGCTAACTACGAGTTGGAATGTCAAAACACCAGTGGAAACATGCTTTGTGGATATCGTGCGTTCTGCGTTTGGTGGCCTCGCCCGACAGATGTACCTGACCGATTTACCAGTATGTGACGAGAGTCACGGACCACACCGCAATCTATCGCCACTACAATCTCTAACCTTTGATGATACTGGTTACACCTGGCGGGGAGCGTTCCCTATTACCGACTGTATCAGCCTGCTCACACCAATGCCCACACAGCCTGAACCATAGATCCATGTCTGCCCGGGGAGGTGAGTGAGTAGCCCTGGGCGCTGCTCTAAACGGTACTTCATTTACATCAAGCTGTGGCAGCACGGGGAAAACACGAAGCGATGCGGCCGTGAACGGTGTCCAGTTCGGGGAAACTGACGCGAGGGCAAGTATCACAATCTCGGAATGTCTTGGAGTAACCAGCTTCGAGTTGTTCTTCCTGGAGGTTTCATTAGTTTGTTTGTTTGTTTGTTGTTTAACGACGCACTAAGCAATATTCCTGCTATGTGACGGCGGTCTGTAAATAATCGAGTCTGACCAGACAATCCAGTGATTGAAATCATGACCATCGATCCACGCAGTTGGGAGACGATGACATGCATCAACCAAGTCAGCCAGCCTGACCATCTTCCTGGATGTAAGCAAGCGGAGTCTTGTTATATGGGTTCGTGTCAGTTTTAAATAAAAAGGCCATAACTATGTGAGGAAGTGAATTTTTGGATATCAACTTTTTTATTATGAGGAACACAACGTTTAGGAGTATATGCTTACTCCTTCATCATTACTCCTGATGAAGGAGTAAGCACATACTCCGAAACGTTGTGTTCCTCATAATAAAGAAGTTGACATCCATAAATTCTCTTCCTTGTGTGTATTACTTCTAAATGCCTTTCAAAGAGTTTTGAATTTGTCGTATGCATGTTGTGCTTAAATTGTTTGACTTCTTAAGTATGACAAGTGATCATTTACTTATTACAAGAAATGTAGATTTTTATTTCGGTTGTTATTTGTAGTTTTTTTTGTTTCAATGTGACAATTGCTGTGCATTTTAAATGTGCCGGATCTTTACGCAAGTGTTGTGCTACGTGTGCCCCTCCTGTCACAGGGGGAGACTTTTCAAGTGAAATCTAACATGCTACCGGAAGTGTTTCATTCATATTTATTTTTTCATCATCTTTTCAGATTTTACTTTTTTTTATTTTAAATGAATACTTGAGCATGTGATCAGCCTTTTTTCAAGGAGAGGCGTATGTCACATGGTGAGAATATCACCGCTTTGTTTAGCTTTCGCAATGTCTAATTAATTAGAACGTTGTATTCTTGTTTGTGTTCGTGTTTGATTTTAATATGGTGTGAGTTCCTTGTAGGTTGGTTTTCCGACTACTTGTGTAAATAAAAGCGACAAAATATTTTCCATATTCATTAGAAATCCCTGCTAAGGACGACCATGAGCAGGATGTGCGGCACGGAGTTAACGTTTGGAGGTTGAGCTAGAACTCTGCTCACCTCATGCATGTCCCAACCGCAGCTCCGCTCACCTCACGTATGTCTCAACTGGATCTCCGCTCCCCTCCTGTATGTCTCAACTGGAGCTCCGCACCCCTCATGTATGTCTCAACTGGATCTCCGCTCCCCTCATGTATGTCTCAACTGGATCTCCGCACCCCTCATGTATGTCTCAACTGGAGCTCCGCACCCCTCATGTATGTCTCAACTGGAACTCCGCTCCCCTCATGTATGTCTCAACTGGATCTCCGCTCACCTCATGTATGTCTCAACTGGATCTCAGCTCCCCTCATGTATGTCTCAACTGGATCTCCGCTCACCTCATGTATGTCTCAACTGGATCTCCGCTCACCTCATGTATGTCTCAACTGGATCTCCGCTCACCTCATGTATGTCTCAACTGGAACTCCGCTCACCTCATGTATGTCTCAACTGGATCTCCGCTCACCTCATGTATGTGTCAACTGGATCTCCGCTCCCCTCATGTATGTCTCAACTGGATCTCCGCCCATCTCATGTATGTCTCAACTGGATCTCCGCTCACCTCATGTATGTCTCAACTGGATCTCCGCTCACCTCATGTATGTCTCAACTGGATCTCCGCTCACCTCATGTATGTCTCAACTGGATCTCCGCTCACCCCATGTATGTCTCAACTGGATCTCCGCTCCCCTCATGTATGTCTCAACTAGATCTCCGCTCCCCTCATGTATGTCTCAACTGGATCTCCGCTCCCCTCATGTATGTCTCAACTGGATCTCCGCGCCCCTCATGTATGTCTCAACTGGATCTCCGCTCCCCTCATGTATGTCTCAACTGGATCTCCGCCCATCTTATGTATGTCTCAACTGGATCTCCGCTCCCCTCATGTATGTCTCAACTGGATCTCCGCTCCCCTCATGTATGTCTCAACTGGATCTCCGCTCCCCTCATGTATGTGTCAACTGGATCTCCACTCAGCTTATGTATGTCTCAACTAGATCTTCGCTCACCTCATGTATGTCTCAACTAGATCTCCGCTCACCTCATGTATGTCTCAACTGGATCTCCGCTCACCTCATGCATGTCTAAACTAGATCTTCGCTCACCTCATGTATGTCTCAACTGGATCCCCGCTCCCCTCATGTATGTCTCAACTGGATCTCCGCTCCCCTCATGTATGTCTCAACTGGATCTCCGCTCACCTCACGTATGTCTCAACTGGAGCTCCGCTCACCTCGTGTATGTTTCAAGTAATTGTTTTTTTATTTTCAGAATAATACAAATATTAAGTGTAGATACAGTAAATATAAAAATGAGTAGTACGTTCAAGCTGTAAATATAATACAAATTAATAGTACGTACACTGTTACGTGATGATTCCCAAGAGGAAACGCTGTTTTCCTATAGGTATCCCGTCCGCACTGGGGAAGAGAAAAGTCTCAAGTCAGATCACAGAAGGCGTCCAGTCGCTTTATATACACTCTTCAAAAAATGAAACGCACAGGTAATATGTTGAACCTGACTACACAAAAACTCCTGTATATACATTAGATATACATGTATGTTATTGGAAAATGTTGGTGGCCTGATATTCGACAAACGGTGAGTCAAAACGCAGCTATTGTCGATTTGCAATGTCTTAAACGCCATTGTTTTCACACTTATTTAAAAATGTCATGGAGGAAAACAGTAAAGCAAAATGCACGTGCAAGTTATGACATTCGTAACTCGTGGTAGTGGCTATAAAAAGGCAAGCATAAGCCAATCATTTGTCATTCAATTGTCAACATTTTTCAAGTTCGAAAATGCCGAGACTCAGCGCTGCCGATCGGAACATCGCCATAGGACGTATCCAAGAGGGGAATCTCAGTCTTCTGTTGCTCGTCACTTCAACATCCATCACAGCACCATTTGCCGCCTTTGGGACCGATACACAAAGTTCAATTCCACTGCAGACCGCCCGAGAACCGGCCGACCTGTTACCACCCCTGCACAGGATCGCTACATTCGACTGTTCCACCTACACCAGGAGATCTTACTTGGTTGTGGTTCAGGGAAATTGAATCGCCAGAGGGAGCTGTTTCAACACGACAACGCTCCACCGCGCACAGCTAGTGTCACGGTAGACTACCTTTATAATGCCAACATCAACTTCTTGCCCTGGCCGTCGAGATCTCCAGATCTCAACCAAATCGAACACCTCTAGGATGAACTCGATCGACGTTCAGCGTAACCTTGTGATCTTATGTGACATGACAATGAACAGTTTTCAATGCCTTTGTACAACGACACCATGTGACTATCGAGGTCCAAAATTTTTTATTTGTAACTATCATATTAAATTTAATATATCGACTTTATTAGGTACAATACATTTACTAAAAATCTACCTGTGCGTTTCGTTTTTCGAAGAGTGTAGGTACAGCCAGCCTTCAAGAAGCTATATTGAACCTATTGAACCACATTGTCGCCTATCCCAGTGTCAGAGCTTGCGGATAACTCTCATGTTACCACAAGCCCCCCCCTGCCCCCTCTCTCTCTCTGAAAGCATAGTAGGGGAGGGGAAAACCTGGGTGTTGTACAACTCATGCAGGGACAGCTCGGGTGTTGTACAACTCATGCAGGGACAGCTCGGGTGTTGTACAACTCATGCAGGGAAAGCTCGGGTGTTGTACAACTAATGCAGGGAAAGCTCGGGTGTTGTACAACTCATGCAGGGAAAGCTCGGGTGTTGTACAACTCATGCAGGGACAGCTCGGGTGTTGTACAACTCATGCAGGGAAAGCCTTGTGTTGTACAACTAATGCAGGGAAAGCCTTGTGTTGTACAACTCATGCAGGGAAAGCTCGGGTGTTGTACAACTAATGCAGGGAAAGCCCGGGTGTTGTACAACTAATGCAGGGAAAGCTCGGGTGTTGTACAACTCATGCAGGGAAAGCCTTGTGTTGTACAACTAATGCAGGGAAAGCCTTGTGTTGTACAACTCATGCAGGGAAAGCTCGCGTGTTGTACAACTCATGCATGGAAAGCTCGGGTGTTGTACAACTCATGCAGGGAAAGCCTTGTGTTGTACAACTAATGCAGGGAAAGCCTTGTGTTGTACAACTAATGCAGGGAAAGCTCGGGTGTTGTACAACTCATGCAGGGAAAGCCTTGTGTTGTACAACTAATGCAGGGAAAGGTAGGGTGTTATACAACTCATGCAGGGAAAGCTCGAGTGTTATACAACTAATGCAGGGAAAGCTCGGGTGTTGTACAACTAATGCAGGGAAAGCTCGGGCGTTGTACAACTAATGCAGCGAAAGCCTTGTGTTGTACAACTAATGCAGGGAAAGCTCGGGTGTTGTACAACTCATGCAGGGAAAGCTCGGGTGTTGTACAACTCATGCAGGGAAAGCTCGGGTGTTGTACAACTAATGTAGGGAAAACCTTGTGTTGTACAACTAATGCAGGGAAAGCTCGGGTGTTGTACAACTCATGCAGGGAAAGCTCGGGTGTTGTACAACTCATGCAGGGAAAGCTCGGGTGTTGTACAACTCATGCAGGGAAAGCTCGGGTGTTGTACAACTCATGCAGGGAAAGCTCGGGTGTTGTACAACTAATGCAGGGAAAGCTCGCGTGTTGTACAACTAATGCAGGGAAAGCTCGGGTGTTGTACAACTCATGCAGGGAAAGCTCGGGTGTTGTACAACTAATGTAGGGAAAACCTTGTGTTGTACAACTAATGCAGGGAAAGCTCGGGTGTTGTACAACTCATGCAGGGAAAGCTCGGGTGTTGTACAACTAATGCATGGAAAGCTCGCGTGTTGTACAACTAATGCAGGGAAAGCTCGCGTGTTGTACAACTCATGCAGGGAAAGCTCGGGTGTTGTACAACTCATGCAGGGAAAGCCTTGTGTTGTACAACTAATGCAGGGAAAGCTCGGGTGTTGTACAACTCATGCAGGGAAAGCTCGGGTGTTGTACAACTAATGCATGGAAAGCTCGGGTGTTGTACAACTCATGCAGGGAAAGCTCGGGTGTTGTACAACTCATGCAGGGAAAGCTCGGGTGTTGTACAACTAATGCATGGAAAGCTCGCGTGTTGTACAACTAATGCAGGGAAAGCTCGCGTGTTGTATAACTAGTGCAGGGAAAGGTAGGGTGTTGTACAACTAATGGAGGGAGTTCTTGTCCCCAGGCTTTGCACAGAAACAAATACTTCCAAATTCGTTTACTACTTGTTACTTGACTTGTTTTTGACAGACATTTGAGAGAGAATGGATCTGTTTACGTCACATTTATACATGTGCTCAATCAAACATAACATAAATCATCAGGAGTGTAAGTTTAACCGTCACACTGATCTTCTTACCGAGTTAAAGTTGGCTGCTAGTTGAAACATGAAGGTCGCACTTGCTCTACTGGTTGCCGTGAGTTTTCTTGCAAGTGTGCAGTCTCATGGTGGTGGCAGGAGCTCAACGAGTGGTAGAGGACCTAAAGGAAAGGAAAAAGGACCAGGGGGGTCAGGACCTACAGCAAGGCCAAGTGGACGAGGACCTTCACCACGAGGACGCCGGCCGGAGGGGAGAGGACCTAAAGCAGGAGGGAGCCGACGGACTGCTGGGGCGGTGAGTACTTTGTCACACGCGCCAACATACTCGATAGTGGGACACTTGATCTCTGAACACCTTCCGTTCTACAGATTTCACAACCGTCTATGATCTCCCCCAGTTTACTGTTTGTATTCGCTATTCACTTGGGGCGGCGGGGTAACCTAGTGGTTAAAGAGTTCGCTCGTCACGCCGAAGACCCGGGTTCGATTCCCCACATGGGTACATTGTGTGACGCTCATTTCTGGTGTCCCCGCTGTGATATTGCTGGAATAGTGCTAAAAGCGGCGTAAAACCATACTGACTGACTCACTCACTCACTATTCACTCACAGAGTGATGGTGGTGTAGCTTTCAGAATTGATACGGATTTACTGTGGGCGCTGTCGTAAGAGGCGACTAACGGGATCGGGTGGTCAGGCTCGCTGACTTGGTTGATGCATGTAATTGTGTCCCAATTATGTGGATCAATGCTTATGATGTCCAACACTGGATTGTCTGGTTCACTCGCGATTATTTACAGACCGCCGTCATACAGATGGAATATTGCTGAGTGCGGCGTTACACAACAAACAAATCAAACAAACAACAGTGTATGCAGTTGAATATAAGTATTCGGCAATTTCTTGTTAATTTTGCGGGCGTATATATCCATGTAGTTACCGTTTTGAAAGAAATGTTGATGTTGTAATTAAAATTGTTTCTGAGTTAGTTGATGATTGCCAGTTATTAGTTTCCTCGACCCTTCTTCCAGCTTGGGGAGGGTTCCGAGCGTCGACAATGGCGTCGCATAGTGGATGCAGACATCACCGTCAAGGAGTCAGCCAAGTTCAACAGGACCAAGGAGTTCATTACTCTGTTTTCGTTCGACAGAAAGCTCAGGAGTTCTAACATCTCAACCGCATTTTCAGCCTACGATTTTCAAAACGTACGTCTTATCATTTATTTCCTCAACCAACCAATACACCCAACAAACCATTTCCGCATGTTCACTTTCTAGATGACCAATTGGTTATATAACTTGCTATTGTTTTGCATTTTACCGAATATAGTTTGTAGGACTCTATGAAATAAGATCTGACCCGTGAAGATCCGGGGTAGAATAGGTCTTCAGCAACCCATGATTGCCGTGAAGATCCGGGGTAGAATAGGTCTTCAGCAACCCATGATTGCCGTGAAGATCCGGGGTAGAATAGGTCTTCAGCAACCCATGATTGCCGTAAAAGGCGACTATGCTTGTCGTAAGAGGTGACTAACGGGATCGGGTGGTCAGGTTCGCTGACTTGGTGGATGCATGTCATCGTATCAGGATTGCGTTGATCGACGATCATGATATCAATTACTGGATTGTCTGGTTCAGATTCGATTATTTACAGAGTATTGTCTGATAGGCATTACGTAGTAGTTGACGGATGATGAAGTAGACGGATGATGAAGTAGACACAGTAATTAAAGAAGTTTTTTTCCATAAACTGTGTCTACTTTGTGAACTGGAGTATTGGTGAGTACGGCGTTAAACAACAAACAAACAAAGAAACAAAAATAACAAAACAAACAACAACAAACAAACAAACATGCGCTTCTACGCCTGAAAGCAAGCAAGCAAACAAACAAACAAACAAACAAACAAACAGACAAACAATCGCCTCTACGCCTGAACGCAAACAAACAAACAAATAAACAAACAAACAATCGCCTCTACGCCTGAACGCGGCACGTGTTTTGTTGTTCCAGGGAATGGCTGCAGCTCGACTCAGGGTCAACAACACAAAGGTCTGTCTGGTGTTCTCCGTCTCCAACTTCAGCGAGGCGGTCGACGCTATCTCTGGCAGGAATGTAAGTGTAAATGCAAATGACATGAATGAGAGAAACGTAGCCTCAGCCATAAGTTCCCCTTGAGGAGCAAATGCCATCGCTAAAGTGAGTAAGTGAGTATGGTTTAACGCCGCTTTTAGCAATATTCCAGCAAAATCACGGCGGGAACACCAGAAATGGGCTTCACACATTGTTCTCATGTTGGGAATCGAACCTGAGCCTTTGGCGTGACGAGCGAACGCTTTAACCACTGGGCTACCTGACCGCCCCTCCATAGACAATCATCCAGGTGATTCTTTGTAATCCCCGAGGAGATGGCTTGGTATTTGAAAAAAACGTGATGGTCGTGAGATACCATCAACACACAACATAGTTCCGCTATTTTGTCAAAAAGACATGTAAAAGGTCATATGGTGCGTCCGACCTCAATCAGAAGGTCCGTGTTTCGAATCCCATCACGTGACTCCGAAATTTTATGGTCGCTACATCGGCGCCCAACGTGAGGCTCAGCACGTTCATATTACATTTGAGAATACTATACTCAACAACAAAAGTTCCTGTGACACCAATATTTTAGTGTATTTTTCAAACAAGTAAAGTTTGGTTTTCAATATTGTACAAAAACGCAACTGCTACAGAAAAGCATGCATTCCATGCAAAAGTTGACTTTTATGCAAGCCCCATACATTTCACTACCCAAGAATGGGTATAAAAACATGTGCGTTAACGGGATTCCATATGAATTGTTTAGCATCGTGCTGACAACAACCACTCAGAAAAACAACAAAATTACGCAATTATTCAACATTACGAAACGCCACGCCTGTCCGAAGATGAGCGTTTGCGAGCCATTGGTATGCTTGAAGCAGGATCGAGTCAACGTGATGTTGCAAGACAATTTAACGTCCACAGAAACACCATTAGGTGTTTATGGCAACGCTGGCAACAGACGAATGCAGTCAGAGACCATCCTCGGAGTGGCAGGACACACGTAACCAATAATCGACAAGACAACTGGATTCGAACAACACACCTACGAAATCGATTCCAGCCAGCAATAGTGATTGCAAGAAGCATCCCTGGCCTTCGACGAATATCTTCACAAACCGTACGTCGTAGCCTCAGATGTGCAGGGATTGTCGCCAGAAGACGTCCCATTTTGACAGGAAACCATCGTCAAGCACGTCAACAGTGGTGCAGACAGTGTCTACGGAACAAGTTCTATTCACTGACGAGTCTCGTTTTCACCTCAGCCACAGCGATGGACGGATTCGAGTGTGCCGACGTCGAGGTGAACGTTACGTCAATCATTGTGTCATTGAAGAAGATCGGTTCGGGGGCGGCAGCGTTATGGTATGGGGTGGGATTACAGCAAGACAGAGGACCCGTTTGATAGTGGTAGAGGGAAATTTGGACATGGACAGCGCTACCGCGACGAGATCATCGGCCCTGTTGTTCTACCGTTTTTGCGTCGTCAGGGCCCAGGCATTACCTTTCAACATGACAACGCCCGGCCGCATGTTGCTCGACTTGTTCAGGATTCTCTTCAACAAAACAACGTGAATTTCATCCCCTGGCCGGCTCGCTCCCCTGATCTCTCACCAATCGAGCACATGTGGGATGAGATGGATCGGCGCCTTCGACGTCAACCAAGTGTTCCACAGACACTCCAGGAACTTTGAAACATGCTCCAGCAGATATGGACAGATATCCATCCCACAGGACTTTGTGCGACCCCTGGTCCATTCCATGAGACGAAGATGTGTCGCTTGCATCGTAACCAGAGGTGGACACACACGCTCTTGATTTGTATATTGACATTTTGGCATGTGATGAAATCACGCATTTTCTGAAGTCAGTATGGCAAATTAAACCATTTGAACACTCACAGGAGTCTTTTTATCTGTTGCAAACCAAAATTGTTTCAGATTTGGTAAAAAACATAACTTTGCATTAAATCTTATTCAATGTCACAGGAGCTTTTGTTGTTCAGTATAGTTTCAGTACCCTACTATGCGACCCGGAACTTGCCTTCTGTTGACGGGGGAGTGTGTAGCAGGGCGTGGAGTCATCCCAAAGATGACACCCTTACCTTGTCAGCTTGCCGACTGGGTCAACCTCTTTGGTCACGTGGACAAGGCGTCCGACCTAGTCTCAGAAGGTCTTTGGTTCGAATCCCATTATAGGACTCGGAATTTTTATGGCCGCAACATAGTGGCGGGAAGAAGCAAAATGCCAATGTAACTACTGTTTTAAATATATGTGAGGCACTGGCAAAATATGATGTTGAATATGCACATACATAGTTACACTTAATAACAATTCCGTTTTGGGAAGCAAGTACACTGCTTATTATATCACCAACTGAACTGTGTATTGACGAACCTGGAAATATTGTGAAGAGGTGTATGGAAACTATCCTGGAAAGTGTAGTATCGTTATATCAATATATGGTTTGCTTGTTCATTTCATAAATTATATTTTGTAAATGCCAGGTGATTATTTTATTGTTTATATTATTTTTAAAATGTATTTTTGCGACTTTGCCTTCTACGCCTAGTGGAATGTTTCGAAGATTGGTCGTTCTCTGGAGTTGACGTTTTGTTGTTAACCTGGACAAGGTCATTGTTTCTGTTGGTGGACTCACGTCCCCAAGGTTCATCATAAGCTCAGTGGTATTTACGCTATCGTGTTGCTGGATTTGCTTGTCCACTGATCACTTGATTATCTGGTCCATGGATCACATGATGATCTGGTCCAAGGATCACTTGATTATCTGGTCCATGGATAACTTGATTATCTGGGTCGTTTACAGACCAACGTCGCACTGCAGGAGTACTGATGGCCGGCATCAGGCAACACACATTACCCTCTTATGTAAATTGTGTGAGTGGTGGGTGCTACTGGTAGGGCAGGATAGCTAACCTTTTTCGCGAACATCTGGTGTCATCACTGATTTTAAGGGATCCATTGATGTAATTTTCACCTATATCTTGCCTTTAACCCCAATGGAATCTGTTTTGGAGACGAGTCATTCTCTGGAGTGGACGTTTTGTATTTAGATGAGTGAGCTCGTAACTACCCCCGATATTGCTGACGAATACATAATGAAGACAGATGACAGGATGACAGATGCTGAGCTGGTAGCGTTCAACTCCACCTCACCGTCCCTGTACCAGATCTGTCAGGGACGACGCAAAGGGCCATATGTTATCATCGACGCCACAACAGTGACAACTGGTGAGAAATAAGATCATATTTGCACTCAAGTTATTGTGTTTTCTGTTTCGGAATTAGTAAGCTTCATTCATTTTGAAACCTTGTGTTCTTGTGAACACGGTAGACGCTGAGCACTGTTGTCGTGTCAGGACAGAAGCGCCAATTATGAACAACCGATGACTATTAAATTCATGAAGACCCACTGTTTTAGAAGGCCTCGGCCAAAGTACTCCCAGTATCCCCATTATTCACCAATATCCCCAGTCTCCCCAGTCTCCCTAGTGTTATCAATAGCCCCATTATTCGAAGTATCCCCAGTATCCCAGTATTCCCACTATTTCCAATCTCCCTAGTATTCCCAGTATCCTAGTATTCCCAGTATCCTAGTATTCCCAGTCTCACCCTATTCCAAGTCTCCCCATTATCCCAGTCTCCACATTATCCCAGTATTCCCAGTATTCCCAGTCTCCCTAGTATTTCCAGTGTCCCCTGTATTCAGTATTATCAATATCCCCATTATTCCAAGTATCCCCAGTATTCCAGTATTCCCAGTATTTTCGGTCTCCCTAGTATTCCCAGTCTCCCTAGTATTCCCAGTATCCCCTGTATTCCCAATCTCCCTGGTATTCACAACCTTCCTAGTATTCTCGTTTTCCCCAGTTTCCCAAGTATTGCCAGTATTCTCATTTTCCCAAAATATTCCAGTTTTCCCAGTATCCTCAGTATTCCCCAGTATTCTCATTTTCCCCAGTATCAAAGTATAAACAGTATTCCCAGTATTCTCATTTTCCCAGTATCCTCAGTATTCCCAGTATTCTCAGTTTGCCCAGCATTCCAGTATTCTCATTTTCCCCAGTATCCCCAGTATTCCCAGTATTCCGAGTATCACCAGTATTCTCAGTTTCTCCACTATCCACAGTATTCTAGTATTGCCAATTTTCCCAGCATTCCCAGTATCCAAGCTATCCCACAATTCCCAGCATTCCCAATATCCCACAATTCCCAGTATCCCAGTAGTCCCAGTATCACAGAATTCCCAGTCTTTTCAGATTTAACTTTCTATGTTTTGCAGGAGAGGACGTAACCAACCTAAACCCTGTAACGTTCTTGTCAATCAACGGCAAGGTGACAGTCTACCTCAAGTCTACACTCTCACTGTGACGAAAACAAAATCTCCAATATTCATTGTATTCTAGAAACCCACTCTGTTTCTAGTTAACTAATAGCTACTCCCATCGTGACAAAGTAACAGTTCCTTAAGTTGTACAGAAATGGACGTGTCATTTGCAGGAACTGCCTAACTGGAGTTATTGTATAATGATGGACATGTATACTTTGAGAAATGAATAAATACTGATGCTCTGACCATTGACTGTGAGGTTGTTCACTGTTAAGTAGACCGTGCTCTGACCATTGACTGTGAGGTTGTTCACTGTTCAGTAGACCGTGCTCTGACCATTGACAGTGAGGCTGTTCACTGTTCAGTAGACCGTGCTCAGACCATTGACTGGGAGGATGTTCACTGTTCAGTAGACCATGCTCTCACCATTGACAGTGAGGCTGTTCACTGTTCAGTAGACCGTGCTCAGAAGTTTTTAGTTAATTTGCTTAGCAGCTGCCTTAATTAGAGTGTTTGTTCCAAGTTCCAAGTTCCAAGTTTGCCATTTCACTTATACAGTAAATGGTGTAATGAAAACATTGGTTACCGCTCTTGGGAGCAGCTTTCAGTTATTGAAGTTTGCATCAGACTCGACGACATCCTGTTTTGGCCACCAGGCGACAGTTAACGCCAGCAGTAAACGAAGGATGTTCTATACATAAAGCTGTATCAGGGCTCAATGTGAATAACTGAGCCAGTTTGAGAATACTTCGGGGCTTGTGAGGCAGGTTGCGTCTCATGCAAGTTCATTATGGTTGTTGGATGAAATGATTAATCAGGATCGAGTGTCTACAGTGTGTGACCTTGCTTATTTTGTGTCTGCGTACCTATGGTTGTCCAAATAAGGACATTCAGCCAGCGACAGAATACATCAGATTATTACACCTCCATACAATTGATACTGTAATAATTTTGTGTAAGGAGAAGTATTAAGGATTTGCTAAGTGTACACAAATATCAATATTATCCAAATATTTATAGTTTTTTCGCGCAGAGACATATGTGTGTATATATCACACTGTACATCTACCCGAGGCAAGAGAGTTAACTGACTTTAAAAGTCCAGTTTCCATCCTTGCCGAAATAGGCTGGAATTCCTGGGCTCGATCGTAGCACCACCAGTGGCTATTACGAGTAGTGTCCTTTCTACGCCTCTCCTATTGACCAATCAGATTCAACCTCTCGTATCGCTTGCATTTGCTTCAAACAAAACGGTGGCGCCCAGTCAAGACGATCTGATCGATAATCAAGATCTATATTGTGATCAAACGAGTCTTACATCGCGAAGTGCATCAAATCACGTGAGCACCTTGATTAAAAACATGAAAAGATATAGAAAATATCTGTTGACAACTAGTTAGCGGTGTACATGCTTTGCAAATCCTGCAGTCGACTGAAATCTGCATGACACTTTACGAACCGGATTTCGATTTCGGTGCCCGATTTTGATTGGACTATGCATAGACTCGTTAGTCCAGCCAAAATGTAACTCCATAATACCAGCCTAGTTCGGCAAGGGTGGAAACTGGACTTTTATAGTCAGTTAACTCGCTTGCCTCGGGAAGATGCACACTGTAATATGTTATTTGAGACACTGAACGTCCAACACATCAGACTTCGGTTCAGAGATGAACATCATTTTTCACCCTAATATGCCGCGTGTCTGTTGTGAGAATTGAAGTCCAACTAGCTACAGGTGGTCGCGATCACAGTCCAGCTATCACCATGACGTAGTGTGGCAGGGTATACAACTGCCCAACATCTCTCCCTTAACATATTTAGAAAGGTAGAAGTCAGAAGTCCACGTGTATTGGCACAGTGATACGGGGGTTTGGTGGGGTGGGGTGGGGGGAGGTGTGTGTGTGTGTGTGTGTGTGTGTGTGTGTGTGTGTGTTTGTTATGTTTGTTTGTTGTAAAACACCGCACTCATCAATATTCCTGCTATATGATGGCGGTCTGTAAATTATTGAATCTGGACCAGACAATCCAGTGATTGACATCATGAGCATCGATCCACGCAATTGGGATACAATGACATGCATCAACCAAGCCAGCGAGCCTAACGATCCCGATAGTCGCCTCTTACGACAAGCATGGGTTGAATTAAAACAATTCTAACACGGAGTCTTCACGGGAAGATACGAGCAATGAGTAAGTTGAGCATTATTCCATTATTGCAGTTATATCACAGCGTGTCAGCTTTATGTTGGAGGAAAGCCCAACGGGATGCAGGTCTCAGACGTTTACAACCTTGGTGAAACCCACGAGCACGGGTATGGTGCTGACAAACCTAGAAACACAATCGGAACGAACCGGGATTCGAACCCATAAGCTTTCTGACTTGCCCATCGGACGCAACTCTACAAAGCGAATTGCAGCGACCCCCGGGCCCCCAACACACCGATACGACCCCCATGTCTGTCCCACACAGGCGGCACACTGCACACATTACTACGCCCATTACTGACGTGACATGAAGGTTTTAGGATGATTAATAGTCGTTTCACTTGTACCAAGGAGACATCCTTACATATCTATTCTTGACAAGGCGAGCAAGGTCTTGTCTGCTGTCTTGTCTGGAAAAGCCCCGCCTAGTATCCCGTGAAGAATCAGATTGACGATGATGGATGCTCTAGAAATACCAATTTGATTTGCCCCGTGGGAAACAACTCAACGATCACAAAGCGACAGTTAGCAAGTCACGCCCATATATTCATCTATGTGTGACCGAATTAGTGCGGGGAGTTGAACAAGCTTCCCATTCGTGACCAACTCGTATCATTCGGGACAAGCCGAATAGCGACTCGTACCCCTCACGTTGCCATTTTTGCGACTGGGTTCCGTCTAAGCGCAAACGGGCAAAGGAAAAGGATTGTCAACTCGTTGCGTAATGATTCACGTATATTTTTCCCATATATCATATATATTCCAGATGCTATTGAAACACATCGGAACTTACAGTATCATACAGTTTGATTGAACAAATTTAACTACTTCTCGGGTATATTTTTAAATGCAAGACATATGCTCAATAAAAATATTCCTGGGGGATTCTTTGACCCCAGTACTTGAAGTCGTACGTGCATGCTGATTGGTTTGTCGTATTCTCATCAATAGGGGAACGAGTCTCCTTGAAGGTTACGGAAAGGGGCGAGTGGTGACGAATGCAAGAAGCTACGACGTCGTATGCGTGTTTTAGACGTTCCTGTAGAGATCTGGTATAATCCAACTTTGACCTAGACTTTCCAGGATCGATATCAATTCCGAATGCTAGGCCGGCTGGCAACGAAGATGTCTACCAAATTTTCTTGCTGTCTGGATTCAAAGAACCGAGCATGTTGCAAAGAGTGCGATTAAACCGTTCACAGATCCTCTTGGTAAGGGCTGGTACGTGACTTGTCAATTTTTAACATTTGGAAACTCTGACTTCAGTTTCCCAACAAAGTTGGCACCTTTGTTTGCATGAATCCTCTTTGGCAGTCCATAGTGCACAACAAACGTATTGAAAACAGCTTCAGCTGTGGTCTTTGCCGTCATATTCTTAGTTGGATATGCATGTGCATAGCGTGTGAAATGATCAGTATTTACCAGAACATGTTGTTGTCCGCCTTTGGAAGGTTCCAAACTGAGATACTCCAAACACACTAACTCTAGGGGCTATGATTTCTGAATGTTTACTAATGGAGTACGGCTTCTGCAAAAGGAGTTCAACGTCCTTGGTCATCCTGGCCAGTAGAACTTATCCTGTAAGAGGGAAATGGTGTTGTCATGTAGATAATGCAGAGCTGCTACACGACATCTAGACGGAAGACATCAATACTCTGTAAAGCACTCGTCTCTTCAGCCTGAAATTATTCTTTGGCAATGCCATCATCTCTTTGTCTCCAATGAAGCGAGACCGATCTGGTCTAGTCCTGTTTTTGAGATGTTGAATGATTTCAACTAGGGCAGAGTCCTTGGCTTCATATTTCCTCCAGTCCCTTGCGTTCATATCACATGTGTCCTCTGTCTCCTCTGTCTCCTACTATAGAAGATGAGAGACACAAACTCTCCACTAAGCTGGTCGTATGAATGCCTCAACAAATGGCCCTAACAGAGTCGGTAGTAATATGCTCCATATGTTCCACTCCACTCAGGTAAACGAGACTGCGTCCGTATTGTCTGAACCTGGTCAAAACCTTATGTTCAAGTTGTAACTTGCAAGGGCTGCAAGCCATCTAAACGAGCAGTAGTCAGGACACAGGTGAGAGCATTGTTATCTGCCACTACATCAAAGTGATGCCCGTACAGGCAGTCGTGGAATTTCTCAGAGACTGACCATTTGAGACTCAGAAACTCAAGTTTATGTGCTAAATGATTTCTTTCAGATGGAGTTAACTCCGGCTTGTATATTCAAAGACACGCTGATGGTCCTCTCATGGTTGATATAAAACATCACCTGAACCCTGTGTGTTAGCATCAGTGTGCGATTCAAAAGGCTTTGAATAATCGACATAACCAAACACAGGGGGTGTAGTAAGTCTTGTCTTCAGGGCCCGGCATTAGCTCTGACGAAGGTCTTGCAATCTGTAAGAAGTCTTTGACAAACTTTCTGTAATGGCCAGCAAATCCTAAGAAGCGTGCGACATCCTCTGGAGTAGTTGGTGTTGGCCAGTCTTTTATTTATTCTACTTTCTCTGGGTCGGCCTCAATACCATCCTCTGAGACAATACACCCAACATATCGAACTTTGCGCTTAAGGAACTTGTACCTCTTCAAACAATTCGCCTCAAAGACACTTCGGCAGTTATCAAACAATTTGCCTCAAAGACACTTCGATAGCTATCAAACAATTTGCCTCAAAGACACTTCGGTTGTTATCAAACAATTTGCCTCAAAGACACTTCGGTTGTTATCAAACAATCTGCCTCAAAGACACTTCGGCAGTTATCAAACAATTTGCCTCAAAGACACTTCGGTTGTTATCAAACAATTTGCCTCAAAGACACTTCGGCAGTCATCAAACAATTTGCCTCAAAGACACTTCGGTTGTTATCAAACAATTTGCCTCAAAGACACTTCGGCAGTTATCAAACAATTTGCCTCAAAAAGAAACTTCGGTTGTTATCAAACAGTCTGCCTCAAAGACACATCGGCAGTTATCAAACAATCTGCCTCAAAGACACTATGACCGGCTAGCACACTGTAATGACCGGCTAGCACACTG